GACCTGCTTAAGAGTTGACTTAGGATGCTATTTTTAAGTAGTCAATTTACCTAAGTTGCATGACTTTGAACGGTGGAAGGAGACCGGAGGACCCAGGGAAAACCCAAGCGAAACACGGGGAGGACATGCAAACTCCGCATAGAAACACCCACTGGCCCGGAGAGGGCCAAACCAGCGGCGTTCTTGCTGTGAGGCAACAATGCTACCCACTCAGCCACCGTGGCGCCCTATCGGAGAAGGGGAGGAGTAGGGGTGGAAGGGGGGATTCTTCAAAACGATGATGACTGGAGTAGAAAGCTCTGGTAATTTATAGTGTGTCAGTATTTATCTGATTGGTGCAATATGCGGAGTTATTGGGGTACCAGCTGTGTTCAATCATAAGCACGTGATCCTCTCGAAAGTAGTTTATAAATAAACCACACTTTGTGTCACTGTATCAACTCATGTGTGTGCCGGTCTATAAAGGAGGTGTGTTAAGGTGCATTGTTGGCATGTTTTTTTTTTTTGTTTTTTTTTTACAGAAACTGAAATAGACCACGCTATTGACCAAGTGAAAGTTGGTCTAAACTCCAGCTTATGCAGGTACAAACGCTTAATACACACACTATGTACAGCAATACACAAATGTCTTTACAAATAAAAGAAAATAAAGAATTCAAATGTTACAAAAACTATTATTTCCTACATAGATTTGTAAGTGACGCTGGCAACAGGGTTGAGAATCTAAACGCAGGGTTTATTATACAGAGATGGTCAGGTAAGCAATGGTCAACACAAAGAGAAACAGATGTAAACAGGCAATCCAGAATCATAGTTAATAAGCAGGCAGATGGTCAAAAGGCAGGCAGCATACAGGAATAAACAAAACAAAGCAAAGGTCAGACACGGAAGGCAAGGCAAGGGAAATTCGTCGTAATGTTCACAAACAATTTAACAAGACTCAGCAATGTGTGTGTTTGAGAGGTGTATATATAGTCAATGTAATCAGTCTATGACAACCCTCCAGCTGTGTATCAGTCATAATCAGGAACAGGTTGTGTGTGTGTGGTGCATGACTGGGTCTTACAGTCCATAAATTACGGATTTGTAGTCCATTAGCAATCTGCAGCCGCTAGATCCTTGGTGATCATAATAAGATTGTTTTAGTTTATTCATGACAATTTGCATTTTTATTAAAATGTTATTATTATTAGCAGTAATATTTATTATATTCATATTTGTATAAGTATGTACAAGTTTAGATTTGTCCATCTGTCGGGTTTTGGAGATGTATGCATCACTATACGGGGCATAAGAATAGGACGTGTGTTTGAACATAACTCAGTTTTTTGACGACAATTCGTTATTATTGTTCATCTATACACTAGCAGGAAATTAAAACTGAATTTAGAAATAGTTTTGAAACAAATATTTGCGTTTAACAAACACAATTTAATATGTAGACTAATGGATATCTTCAGCGGAGTGCGTACAACACCGTTTCCTTATCCACGAACGTAAAGAAGTAAAGTAAAGAGTAAAAGTAAAGAGAAAGTAAAGAGGCCCAATGGAGGAGGCTCGTCCTTTATCTTCAAACAGATAGTCTGTTAAACTGTTTTCTCGCTAGTGAAGCGTTCAGTTTGTCCATTCAGTTTTTCCACTTACGACTTTGGACTTTTTTTTGAACGCCATGTAAATAGCAAATGTGCCATGGCACGACACAACTGAATCTTAAAGGGAATGGGAGATGAGACTGATTGGTTTAATGCACGTTTTGCTCAAAACACACCCATTAGGAGAATGAGCACAACCCTGTTAAACCATGCACCTCGGCGCAAACTGTATTTTTCCATCCTTATAATAGCAAAAGTGCATTTGGACACGGCCTTAATGCTTTTGCACCATGTGCTTTAGACTTTGCACTTAGATTGTTAAAATAGAGCCCATAGTCTACAGACATGAATTTTATAGTGGCAATATAGGATCTCTAAGGCAGAGGGAATAAATAAATAAAATACGTTTATTTGTTTATTTATTCATTTAAAAAAGCCTAATTCTAAAGCTCAACTCAAGGATGCCTTTAGAAAAGCTTGATACATTTCAGGACCATGTTATTTGTGCCAACAAGTGTAACAATAAAAAATTTTTTTTTTTTTTTTTAACTTTTTTAAAAGTTTGTACATTTCTATTACTTTATTTTTGTCTTTTAATTAAGGGAGCAAAACATAAATATGTGATTGAAACATTCAAAAAATACCAGAGCTGGTGGTCAACTTTTGCACACTACTACATCTTATTATAACTTATATATCACCATTGTTTGAAAGTAAAGTATTAAGTACATACCTCCTACTGTACAGGCGCCAAGCAAGTTGACGATGTTTATATGGTTACCAATGTAACTCAGGACTTTTAACTCCGACATTAAAGCCTCTTTCTCAGTGGAGTGCGCACTCGCTTTGAAAGAAAAAATGTAATAAAAAAATTAGAGCCACACAAAACAACATTACAGTACATCTATCATGCCTTTAAAGGTTCCTAAACAACATTAAAGTGCCTCATTATGCTATTTAAAGGTTGTTCTATTTGTCTTCTACAATTGGTTTACAAGCACAACTCTCAAATGATTAATAAAAAAACGAAGGCTTTCTAACTGTCTCCTTAGGAAAGCTGATTGGTCAGATTATACAGTGCATGAAATGTAATATTTAAAGAAGCATAAAAAGGATATTTTCTAGCAACTAGTGATTTATTGAATAGACATACTTCACATGTTAAGTCATGTATAAATACTCACGTTTTAGCATTTTTACAGCAACAGTGGTCACTGTGTCGGCTGAGCAAAGTCCATATGCAGTAGCTGCCACCACTTTACCAAACGCTCCAGAGCCAAGGATTTTACCTTCATTGATACAAAAAACCAAACATCTTGCTTTTACTTAACATTAATATGATTAAAGACTGTACAAGATGTTTATTCTAATATTAATTAATTCAATACAAATGTTATATTCTATAATAAATTATTCTATAAAATAAATAATTTTATACTTTAATTGTATTTCTTTAATCTTTTTTATTGAAAGGTTTTTTAAGTTAAGTACTTATAATGTTCAAAGGTTTGGAGCTTAAAATGGTAAAACAAATAATATATATAAAATAATATTAATAATAATAATAATAAAATATAAAAATGGCTTGGGTTAAGTTTTTTGTATTATACCAGTACTGAACTTTCATAGATTATTCTGTAACACTTTACAATAAGGTTCTGTTAGCATGAACAAACAATGAACAATACTTGTGCAGCATTTATTAATCACAGTTTATTTATTAATGCAACACACAAGGTAAAGTTGTGCATGTTACTTAATGCACTGAATTATAACACAAACCATCACGATTTCATTTTCAGAAATTGATAATAACAAAGATGAATATAGACAACAATAAATGTATTGTTCATTGTTTGTTTGCGTCAGTAATACAATAACTAACAATAACTAATGAAACCTTATTTTAAAATCGTACCATTCTTTTGTGACTTTTTTTTTACCCAGAATGTGTAGATTTATTGTAATTTCAAAAACAGAAGTTTAGTTTGATCAAACTAATGCCTCTTTGCTTAATACAAGTCTTAATTTCTTTAAAAAAAATGTACTGATCCCAAACTATGTAAAAGTATTGTATTAAAATATTGTTTGTTGTAGTATAATGAGTTGCTGTATAATCATGACATTTATTTGTGTATATAACTTTACCAAAGCGCAGTCTTTCCCGTGGAAACTCCCATTTTGGGTCATAAGGGAGCTGCGTTGGGTCTATGTAGGTATAATTGTTGCCATCAAAACTGTCAATCACCTTCCAGTGGATTTCATATTTAGGCTTCTAAAATCACAAGCAGAAAATACAAGCTAAATAAGTTGAACCAGAACGTATTGCTATGGTGCTTCTAAATATGTGAATGATGGTTTAGTACCTGCATGTATTTGTAAAGCAGAACCACCAGAATGAAGCTAAGCAAAACAGAAGTGGACACAACCCCAGATAGCAGCGGTGTGAAGAGTTTATGAGGCACGGTTCTCTCTTGATAGACAAAAAACATATCAACACATTCATCAGTATATACACACATAAATGAACACAAGAGAACAACCTACAAGTTCTTGAATTTCAAGGTCACTGCTTAGTCCTATTTGAAGTTCTACTGGCAAAAAGGCCATATTTTGTACTGTAAAAAATGTAATGACAAAAAGTCTAGACAACAATTTTTTTTATGTTGCTTTAACCTATTTTAATAAGTTAGTCGGGTTTCAGCTAAATTTAAGTTATATAAAGATTGACTTAATGTTTTTAGTAGGTTTAGTTTGGTTTGGTTGATTGACGTATGTTGAGATGACCAGAAAAGTTTAATTGATTCAACTTAAAAAGTCAGCAAGATTTGTTTTACACCCAGCTAGCTTACTTTTTCAAGTTTCAGTTTTTTTCAGCAGTATCAAAAAACCTGAAACTTGAAAAAGTAAGCTAGTTGGGTTTCCATCACCCTCTCCTCAACTATTGTGTGAGAAACAGGTGATGAAAATCGCTTAATTTGCAAAAAAATAGTTTTGACAAAAGGGTTAATTCTAATTATGGAAGATGGAAATGCATTTTTCAAACAAACATTGACTGGCGTAGCGAACATTACACTCACATTACTCAATTATGTTTTTCTTCTTTACTGTTGGTCACTAGGTTACCAATATTATAGCCAGCCGCTCAATGCACTTTTCACCTAATTGACATTTGGGATTTATATTTTCTCTTATTTTTTCCTAACTTTGAAAAGATTCAATTCATGTTGGATGGAAACCCAGCTACAGTTTAAAATATAGGATTCCTCACAGTTATTGGTCATTAAAGAATGACCCTTTCGGCCATAGCAAGAGATCTTGATTTAAAATTATGTGATTTCTACATTATTGCACCTACAAAAATACAATGTCACAAAAACACTGGTTGTCTATAAAAGACAAATGCATGAGAGGACAGAATAATGTAGAGAATCTAAATGGGTAATCAGTTCAACACTGCAGCCGCAATTGCTCAACAGCGGTCAAGATCTGCTCTGACATGCATTTTCAGTTGTTTAAATTAACTTGGACATAAAGCCATTCTGCACTGACCAAACTTCTCACAAACAGAAAGAATAAAAAAACAAGACTGAACTTTGCTGAAGAACAGGTGTTGTGGATGAAAAAACTGTTCTGAAGTTCACTTTAATAATGAAATCAAGTGTTACAGGAAATAGATAATGGTTAAATCGGAAACATTTTGTTAATTGTCAACAAACTGGAAAAACACTGAGGTGCCAAAAACACCAGTGCATTTTCTAATTAGAACAAGTTTTGTTACAGTTATGCCTGGAGTCCACACTAAGGGCTCATTCACGCTAAATGCATCTTTGCTTCTAAAAATGCTTGACATCGTCACATGACGTGATATTATGAACGTGATGCAATAACGACAATAATGGTCCCATTAGAAATAAGAAAATAATATGTTATGATAACAACTTGAAGATACATCAAATAAATAAGAATATCTGGATACAGCCACAATGAGCGCCTCATCTGCCATGATATAACTGCAAATAAAACAGTTGTCATGCAACTGTCCACTATAAACACAAGCTTGCAATGGTTGCCCCCCTCCAAGCTTTTCTGATTGGTTCACTGCTTTTGGACCTCACAGTGATGTGCTGTAATGCGTATCAAAGTTGAAGATATTTCAAATTGACACACTGTCTAAAAAAACACATCGTTCTTAGTTTACTTAATTAATTTAGTTCAGTCAACTTATTAGGGTTTTCGGTGTAAAAATGTTATGGATGCAAATGTTTATCAGAAGCTACTTCAGAAACATGCATTTCTTCAAGCAACAACCATTGCTGTTCTGTAGTTTTGATCACTTTCTGTTAAACAAAATAAAGGGTTTTTGTTCAATAAGCATGGTATAGCCATTACTAAAATTCATATTTTAAAGACTTTACAATATTTCTGAAAAAAAAAAAAAAAAAAAAAAAATTGTGCAAAAATTGTACTTCAATTGATCTCCACTATATAAACACCACATCAGTGTTTATAACAGTTACAGTTTAAATCCTCGTAAATCAGCGCCATATTAATAAGGCTAGAACTGTGTGTGAGTGTTTTAAATCGGTTGTTCAGGGGATTTTAAGAGCTTAGCGTCAATATCAAATCCTAATGTGCACACGCTGCACAAAATAATAATCCCTCATATCTGTCAACAAGCTCAGTGTGTGTCTGAGAACGCTGAAGGATTATCCCTTACCAGCTGTGTGTGTGTGTGTGTGTGTGTGTGTGCTTGTGTGTGTGTTTGGGTGTCAACAGGTTTATGTCTAAACTACTGCTCTCGATAACACTGAATGACATACTGTGAGTGGCCAGTTTCAGCTATTTTAGTGTCTGGGGTACATATGCTAAGAATGAGCTGAAATAAGTTTTCTCAATCAGACCTCCATTTGGAGACACCCTTAACGTTAAAATGCTTCTTAGGTTTGGTATAATAAAGATTAAATGTACATTTTGACTGTAGAATTTAAGCATACATACTGTTATTGATGGTACACTTCTGTTTGTTTTGTTTGTTTGTTTTTCTTTTCTGGTTTTAAATAAGTCTGTTTTACTGACTATTATAAACAATATTGCTCATTCAGGTAGTTTTGACGTCATTGGATCTCATTCACTAAGCATGTGTGCGTACAAATTTGTGTGTTCAAACATTTTCATGAACAAATCATAATCCATCAAATCTTTCTTACAAAGTGGGCATCGGTAGCCTTGCGGGCTTGTGTAACTTATCTGATCCCGTTCCCCTCTCTTTTTTTTTACTTCCCTTCCTGTCTAAATCTGTCTAAGAGCAATGAATGTCAAAAAAGAACTTTCATAGTAAAATGTATTACAAATTTAAAAAAAATTGGAGCAGCTGAAATTTTGATAACCTGGGCCATTTTAAGCACTGTCTTTATTAATTTTTTGTAACTTTTAACATTTAAAAAAAACATACAAATTTATATATATTTATATGTATTTACCTTTTTTTATATAAAAGGTATCAAAGCAATGGTATATTAATAACAGGAAGATGTATCAGCTTTCTTTAGAAATCCTAGTGGATTCCATACATTGTAATATGTCATTATTAGTAAATGAGACCTCACTCTTTTGTGTGAAATAAACTACATTCAGCATCATTCTAAAGTAAAAAAAGATTAAATAGACAAAGCCCCTATTACAGCCCTAATGCAAATCCATTGCTGTTCATTTTGTTGCATTAGAGCAAAAAAGCTTTCTGTATTAACAGCAAGTAGAAAAAAGAAAACAATATGAAATTGCATCCATTTTCCTACTAAAATCACTTGAACACACATCACACATTAATTGTGACTCGTGAACTTGTAAGCAGCAGCTATCCAATAGCAGCATTTGGCTTTGAGTTTAATCTGTATAAATATTTTTCACTTGGAGTCCTCAGACTGAACTTCTATATTTGTAATTTCCATTATAAAAACAAGAAGTGAAGAAACTCACCACTAATTGAAAAAAGGGTGTAGGCCTGTTCCCCTTGAGCACTTGCCACACACTCAAGAGTGTGAAATTTCCCTTTGCTGATATTAAGTCGACTCTCCACCTCACTTCGTCCAAACTCTGACCCCGATACTGTAATAACAGCAAACTCCTCATCTGCTTGTGTCGCATTCAACAGGTGGGAGCATCTGCCATGGAGTATAAATTATATTTAGAGCTCACAGAATATGACAAACATGCTTTTTTACACTGCAAGACACTGCAGGTGAATAGGGTAAAACAATTAGTTTTAAACAACTAACTGACTCCATTAGGATTTGCAAACTATTTTGTATTGCAAGTTTTCTAAAATGTTATTCTAAAAGGATCAATTATGGCAAAGAAAGCATTCTTGCAAGACTCCTAGAGTTTATCAAGATTCTTTGAATTCATCTTCAATGTCTCTTCTATCTTACCCCAGACATGCTCAATAATGTTCATGTCTAGTGACTGGGCTGGCCAATCCTGGAGCACCTTGACCTTCTTTGCTTTCAAAAACCTTTATGTGGAGGCAGAAGTATAAGAAGGAGAGCTATTCTGCTGTAGAATTTGCCCTCTCTGATGGTTTGTAATGTAATGGGCAAGACAAATGTCTTGATACTTCAGGCAGTTGATGCTGCCTACCACTCTACAGATCTCTCGCATGCCCCCAAACTGAATGTAACCCCAAACCATGATTTTTTTCATCACTAAACTTGTGGGTTCCAATAGGTCTTCTGCATTATTTGTGATGACTGGGATGCAGTTCAACAGATGATTCTTCTGAAAAATCGACCTTCTGTTACTTTTCCAAATGATCAAGTCAATCAAGTCAAGTTATTAGTTGTTGCGCTTACAAATGGGATCAACGATAATACATTTATCAAGTAGTGTAGTGTCTTTCCTAATAAAAAAATAAACACTTTTCTGTTTCCTGTCTTTGTGAGACTCCAGTCACAATGATTTGTTTACTCTTCTTACATAACGTAAGTGTGAGTGGCTTATATTAGTTTGTCTGTGATTCATACCGAGTATGTGGTGGCTCGCAGTAATACCAAGATATTTTGGGGACAGGATATCCTGAAGCAACGCACCGCACCTGTCCATCAACAGGCCCTTCCTGGGAAACTATCACTGGTTTACCTGAATGAAAGGTTTAGTGTGTTAATAAAAAAAGTTTTTAAAAAGGAAAACAAAGTAAAAAGCATGTATCAGAATTAAAATATTGCAATTCTTTTAAACTCACATATAACATGAACGGTGAATGACTGATTGACAGACTCGTATTTGTGATTGGCTGAGAAAGTGTAGATCCCGCCTTCTGATCCATGAACTCGAACCAGCCTCAGTTCACTGATGTACCTGAAACATTCCGTCAAACAACAATGCACAAGGCTTAAAAATGCTAATATTAGAAATCAGGTTAACGTGATTAAGAACAGAGCTAAAAGATGGAAAGTGAGTTTAACCTCACCTTAAAGTTTAACCTCACCTTAAAGTGTAACCCTGTATAAATAAAACTGTTCCTAGTATTTTAAGCAGCATGCATTTTTTGTTAATGGTTAACATTTAATTTAAAAAAACTATATTGTACTATAATGTGTCCCTACTCAGGCTTTCTGCAAGTTTCATCAAGTCAAATTTAATACTTTTTAGGACCCTTTTAAAACCTTTTAAGACCCTTTATACAAGGCTAAATTACTACTGATTATTTCTAATGGCCCAGGTTGGCCAATGGATTTTTTTTATTTTTTTGCTTGCTTTCAACTAAATGTAATTATTTCTTAGCGACATACTTTAATGTGTCAAAACAAGAAAATTTCAGTTGTATACATGTTTTTCAACATAATATTTTGTTTTTGACAAAAAATGACAAGTTTAACATTGTTAAAAGCATATTTATTGGAGAGACAATTACATAAATAATCAAAAATATATATTTGTTGGCTTGACAACAGATTGACTATAAATTCTATTCAACCTAATGCGTTTCTGTAATAAATCCTTAAGTTTCATGCATATTTATAAATATTCCCCTTACTTCTGTTAATAGTTTTTGTATGAATGAAAGATAACGTAAAGGGATATATTGCTAAATTGATATATTGTTTTAATCATGAGAACTGTGAATTTGTTTTTAGTTTTCTTTCCCTGGGAATTAGGGAATTCATTTGGAGGAATTACTGTAAAATATTTCTAACAGCCATTGTAAATTGTATTTATTTGCAATATAAATAGTAAATATAAATTTAAATATTAAAAAAAAGGTTTAATTAAGATGGATTGTTGGTGATTGGATGGATGTTGGTCGGATTGTGTAGCTTTCCTTGAGCAGAGGAAAATTAAGACTTGTTAAAAAACTATTTAAGAACACAACACGTATATTCACATAGTCACATAACACAATATTTTAGTAAATTTAAGACTTTTTAAGGCCTAAAATTTTGTTTTTGAAATTTTAGACATTTTAAGACTTTTTTTAAGACCCTGTGGATACCCTGCTACTTCAACAATGTTTCTATAGTACTTCCTGTTATTTATATTATATGCATAATTTTACCTTTTAATGGCATTTGCCATCAGTTAAAATGCACTTTCTGTTCTGCTAGGTACTTGCAATCTACTAATTAACAATCAATCTAATGTTCATTATTTTCTGTAATGCACTAATAAACATTAGACTTTCATATATTTTAGATTTATGACACACAAATGAAGTAGTTCAAGCCTTTTATTGTTTTAATATTGATGATTTTGGCATACAGCTCATGAAAACCCAAAATTCCTATCTCAAAAAATAAGCATATCATGAAAAGGTTCTCTGAACGAGCTATTAACCTAATCATCTGAATCAACTAATTAACTCTAAACACCTGCAAAAGATTCCTGAGGCTTTTAAAAACTCCCAGCCTGGTTCATTTCACAAAACCGCAATCATGGGTAAGACTGCCGACCTGACTGCTGTCCATTGACACCCTCAAGCAAGAGGGTAAGACACAGGAAGAAATATCTAAAGGAATAGGCTGTTCCCAGAGTGCTGTATCAAGGCATCTTGGTGGGAAGTCTGTGGGAAGGAAAAAATGTGGCAGAAAATGCTGCAAAACGAGAAGAGGTGACTGGACCCTGAGGAAGATTGTGGAAAAGGACAGATTCCAGACCTTGGGGGACTTGCGGAAGCAGTTGACTGAGTGTGGAGAAGAAACATCCAGAGTCACCATGTACTGGCGTGTGCAGGAAATGGGCTACATTCCCCAGGTCAAGCCACTTTTGAACCAGAAATAGCGGCAGAAGCGCCTGACCTGGGCTACAGGATGAAAGAAAATTTTGCATGTCATTCGGAAATCAAGGTGCCACAGTCTGGAGGAAGACTGGGGAGAGGGAAATGCCAAAATGCCTGCAGTGTCAAGTACCCACAGTCAGTGATGGTCTGGGGTGCCATGTCACCTGCTGGTGTTGGTCCACTGTGTTTTATCAAGGGCAGGGTCATTGCAGCTAGCTATTAGAAGATTTTGGAGCACTTCATGCTTCCTTCTGCTGAAAAGCTTTATGGAGATGAAGATTTCATTTTTCAGCACAACCTGGCACCTGCTCACAGTGCCAAAACTATTGGTAAATGGTTTACTGACCATGGTATTACTGTGCTCAATTGGCCTGCCAACTCTCCTGACCTGAACCCCATAGAGAATCTGTGGGATATTGTGAAGAGAAAGTTGAGAGGTGCAAGACCCAACATTCTGGATGAGATTAAGGCAGCTATCGAAGCATCCTGGGCCTCCACCAACACCTCAGCAGTGCCACAGGCTGACTGCCTTCATCCCATGCCACATTGAAGCAGTCATTTCTGCAAAAGGATTTCCGACCAAGTATTGAGTGCATGACTGAACATAATTTTGCACTCAGTATTTTGTACTGTCTATATTTTGCACTGTCGTTATATTTGCACTCTGTATTTTTCTCTGTCTGTATTTTCTACTGTCTATATTTTGCACTGTAGTTGTATTTACACTGTCATTATATTTGCACTGTCTGTATCTTGCACTGTGGATGTATTTGTATTTTGTACTGTCTGGAGCCAGCACCTAAGCTTTTCACTCATAATAGCACACGTGCTGCTGATGTTGTGACAATGAAAGTAATTTAATTTGATTTAAATTATTAGAAGGTTGACTTTTTTTGTATTAAAAACACTTTTCTTTTATTGGTCGGATGAAATATGGTAATTTTTTAAGATTTTTGGGTTTCATGAGCTGTATGCCAAAATCATCAATATTAATACAATAAACTACTTCATTTCTGTGTAATGAATCTAAAATATATTAAAGTCTAATGTTTCTCAGTAGATTACAGAAATTAATGAACTTTATCACAATATGCATAATTTTTGAGAAGGACCTATATATATATATATATATATATATATATATATATATATATATATATATATATATATATATATATATAGAGAGAGAGAGAGAGAGTGTGTGAGTGAGAGAGAGAGAGAAAAAAAATATATATATATATAAATAAATACACACACATAAAGAAAATGTTTGTTTGTATATATGTGTGTGTGAGAGAGAG